TTTTACATCAATTTGTAGCCTAGGTTCTTACGATCATGTGTATAAATTTTAATGTTTCTAGCATCTACATAAAATTTACAATTAAAAAAAACCGAATGTAATTAAAATCGCGATTTTCTTCTCAATTTTTTTACAATTATTAGAATTTTCTCAAAATATTGTGTACTAAAAATACATAAATTTTATATAAACTTGAAGCTTAGGTTCTCAAGAATATTCTTGTAATTTTTACCATGTGTAAATAATTATTTAATAAAATATAATAAATTTGAAAAATTAAAAAAAAATTTTTTTCAGATCTAGATTGATAAAAAATTTTAAAATGCCAAAAAACAAAGAGCTGACCGATTTACAATGAGCCAACATTTTGGGCCTCCATATGAGCAATAATAACCTTACTAAAATATCAAAGTTACAAGAAGTACAGTAAATGATACCATTACCCGTTACAGAAATGCTGAAAGTTTGAAAAGTGCACCAAGAAGTGGTCGGCCAAAGCAATAAATGAAGATGACCAAAAATTTTAAAAGAACTTGTACAAACATATAATCATAGAAGTGCAAATGAAATTAAAAACAAGAGGCATGCATTGCAAATAAAGGATGGGCTACAAAATATTGAATTTAATTTTTAATTTTTAAATAAATTTTTTGTCAAATTTTGTTGATCATCATTATTACAATTTTAATTGTATTTCGGTTTTTTTTTAACTGAGAATCGATTTTGCTATATCAACAACAACATTAAAAACAATAATAATAATAAAAATAATAATAATAAAAATAGCAACAAATCACAAATATTCCACCAAAAAACTGAACAATCAATCTTAAAATGAATCCACCAGGGATACTCCATCAATTCAGTAATATCAAGGTAATAAATACAATCCACAGGGTTTCTTTCCCAACACAAATTAAATTATGATCTAATTTGTCAAAAGGAAAGTATATCATTCTTAATGGCTAAAGTGCACATTGACATCTAATCAATTACAAATATATAGAATTATTATTATTAATTATTCACACATGTATGCAATTATTGATATTACTTGAATAAAATTTAATTGGGAATCTCACACCCAGCAAGTGTAGTTATATATTTTATTTTTTAATTTTTGTTATAATAATCATAATGGTAATGATTTAACCTTTCTACAGATAATTTCATTGTCGATCTCATAAAATTGAATCCTAAAA